TAATTTTTTGACAAGGTAGGGGGTCGTGCAAAATTTTAAAAAATTTTTAATTTTTTGACAAGGTAGGGGGTCGTGCAAAATTTTAAAAATTTTTAATTTTTTGACAAGGTAGGGGGTCGTGCAAAATTTCAAAAATTTGTAATTTTTTGACAAGGTAGGTGGTCGTGCAAAATTTCAAAAAAAATTTAATTTTTTGACAAGGTCGTGCAAAATTTCAAAATTTTTTAATTTTTTGACAAGGTAGGGGGTCGTGCAAAATTTCAAAAATTTTTAATTTTTTGACAAGGTAGGGGGTTGTGCAAAATTTTAAAAATTTTTAATTTTTTGACAAGGTAGGGGGTCGTGCAAAATTTTAAAAATTTTTTAATTTTTTGACAAGGTAGGGGGTCGTGCAAAATTTCAAAAATTTTTAATTTTTTGACAAGGTAGGGGGTCGTGCAAAATTTTAAAAAATTTTTAATTTTTTGACAAGGTAGAGGGTCGTGCAAAATTTCAAAATTTTTTCATTTTTTGACAAGGTAGGGGGTCGTGCAAAATTTTAAAAATTTTTAATGACAAGGTAGGGAGTCGTGCAAAATTTCAAAAATTTTTAAATTTTTTGACAAGGTAGAGGGTCGTGCAAAATTTCAAAATTTTTTCATTTTTTGACAAGGTAGGGGGTCGTGCAAAATTTTAAAAATTTTTAATGACAAGGTAGGGAGTCGTGCAAAATTTCAAAAATTTTTAAATTTTTTGACAAGGTAGGGGGTCGTGCAAAATTTCAAAAAATTTTTAATGACAAGGTAGGGAGTCGTGCAAAATTTCAAAATTTTTTAATTTTTTGACAAGGTAGGGGGTCGTGCAAAATTTCAAAAAATTTTTAATGACAAGGTAGGGAGTCGTGCAAAATTTCAAAAATTTTTAATGACAAGGTAGAGGGTCGTGCAAAATTTCAAAATTTTTTAATTTTTTGACAAGGTAGGGGGTCGTGCAAAATTTCAAAAATTTTTAATTTTTTGACAAGGTAGGGGGTCGTGCAAAATTTTAAAAAATTTTTAATTTTTTGACAAGGTAGGGGGTCGTGCAAAATTTCAAAAAATTTTTAATGACAAGGTAGGGGGTCGTGCAAAATTTCAAAAAATTTTTAATGACAAGGTAGGGAGTCGTGCAAAATTTCAAAAATTTTTTAATTTTTTGACAAGGTAGGGGGTCGTGCAAAATTTCAAAAATTTTTAATTTTTTGACAAGGTAGGGGGTCGTGCAAAATTTTAAAAAATTTTTAATTTTTTGACAAGGTAGAGGGTCGTGCAAAATTTCAAAATTTTTTCATTTTTTGACAAGGTAGGGGGTCGTGCAAAATTTTAAAAATTTTTAATGACAAGGTAGGGAGTCGTGCAAAATTTCAAAAATTTTTAAATTTTTTGACAAGGTAGAGGGTCGTGCAAAATTTCAAAAATTTTTTAATTTTTTGACAAGGTAGGGGGTCGTGCAAAATTTCAAAAATTTTTAATTTTTTGACAAGGTAGGGGGTCGTGCAAAATTTCAAAAATTTTTAATTTTTTGACAAGGTAGGGGGTCGTGCAAAATTTTAAAAAATTTTTAATTTTTTGACAAGGTAGAGGGTCGTGCAAAATTTCAAAATTTTTTCATTTTTTGACAAGGTAGGGGGTCGTGCAAAATTTTAAAAATTTTTAATGACAAGGTAGGGAGTCGTGCAAAATTTCAAAAATTTTTAAATTTTTTGACAAGGTAGAGGGTCGTGCAAAATTTCAAAATTTTTTAATTTTTTGACAAGGTAGGGGGTCGTGCAAAATTTCAAAAAATTTTTAATAACAAGGTAGGGAGTCGTGCAAAATTTCAAAAATTTTTTAATTTTTTGACGAGGTAGGGGGTCGTGCAAAATTTTAAAAAATTTTTAATTTTTTGACAAGGTAGGGGGTCGTGCAAAATTTTAAAAATTTTTAATTTTTTGACAAGGTAGGGGGTCGTGCAAAATTTCAAAAATTTTTAATGACAAGGTAGAGAGTCGTGCAAAATTTCAAAAATTTTTTAATTTTTTGACAAGGTAGGGGGTCGTGCAAAATTTCAAAAATTTTTTAATTTTTTGACAAGGTAGGGGGTCGTGCAAAATTTTAAAAATTTTTAATTTTTTGACAAGGTAGGGGGTCGTGCAAAATTTCAAAAATTTTTAATGACAAGGTAGAGAGTCGTGCAAAATTTCAAAAATTTTTTAATTTTTTGACAAGGTAGGGGGTCGTGCAAAATTTCAAAAATTTTTTAATTTTTTGACAAGGTAGGGGGTCGTGCAAAATTTTAAAAATTTTTAATTTTTTGACAAGGTAGGGGGTCGTGCAAAATTTCAAAAATTTTTAATGACAAGGTAGAGAGTCGTGCAAAATTTCAAAAATTTTTTAATTTTTTGACAAGGTAGGGGGTCGTGCAAAATTTCAAAAATTTTTTAATTTTTTGACGAGGTAGGGAGTCGTGCAAAATTTCAAAAATTTTTTAATTTTTTGACGAGGTAGGGGGTCGTGCAAAATTTTAAAAAATTTTTAATTTTTTGACAAGGTAGGGGGTCGTGCAAAATTTTAAAAATTTTTAATTTTTTGACAAGGTAGGGGGTCGTGCAAAATTTCAAAAATTTTTAATGACAAGGTAGAGAGTCGTGCAAAATTTCAAAAATTTTTTAATTTTTTGACAAGGTAGGGGGTCGTGCAAAATTTCAAAAATTTTTTAATTTTTTGACGAGGTAGGGAGTCGTGCAAAATTTCAAAAATTTTTTAATTTTTTGACGAGGTAGGGGGTCGTGCAAAATTTTAAAAAATTTTTAATTTTTTGACAAGGTAGAGGTTCGTGCAAAATTTCAAAATTTTTTAATTTTTTGACAAGGTAGGGGGTCGTGCAAAATTTCAAAAAATTTTTAATGACAAGGTAGAGAGTCGTGCAAAATTTCAAAAATTTTTTAATTTTTTGACAAGGTAGGGGGTCGTGCAAAATTTCAAAAATTTTTTAATTTTTTGACGAGGTAGGGGGTCGTGCAAAATTTTAAAAAATTTTTAATTTTTTGACAAGGTAGGGGGTCGTGCAAAATTTTAAAAATTTTTAATTTTTTGACAAGGTAGGGGGTCGTGCAAAATTTCAAAAATTTTTAATTTTTTGACAAGGTAGGTGGTCGTGCAAAATTTCAAAATTTTTTAATTTTTTGACAAGGTAGGGGGTCGTGCAAAATTTCAAAAATTTTTAATTTTTTAACAAGGTAGGGGGTCGTGCAAAATTTTAAAAATTTTTTAATTTTTTGACAAGGTAGGGGGTCGTGCAAAATTTCAAAAATTTTTAATTTTTTGACAAGGTAGGGGGTCATGCAAAATTTTAAAAATTTTTTAATTTTTTGACAAGGTAGGGGGTCGTGCAAAATTTCAAAAATTTTTAATTTTTTGACAAGGTAGGTGGTCGTGCAAAATTTCAAAAAAATTTTAATTTTTTGACAAGGTAGAGGGTCGTGCAAAATTTCAAAATTTTTTAATTTTTTGACAAGGGGGTCGTGCAAAATTTCAAAAATTTTTAATTTTTTGACAAGGTAGGGGGTCGTGCAAAATTTTAAAAAATTTTTAATTTTTTGACAAGGTAGAGGTACGTGCAAAATTTCAAAATTTTTTAATTTTTTGACAAGGTAGGGGGTTGTGCAAAATTTTAAAAATTTTTAATTTTTTGACAAGGTAGGGGGTCGTGCAAAATTTCAAAAAATTTTTAATGACAAGGTAGGGAGTCGTGCAAAATTTCAAAAATTTTTTAATTTTTTGACAAGGTAGGGGGTCGTGCAAAATTTCAAAAATTTTTTAATTTTTTGACAAGGTAGGGGGTCGTGCAAAATTTTAAAAAATTTTTAATTTTTTGACAAGGTAGGGGGTCGTGCAAAATTTTAAAAATTTTTAATTTTTTGACAAGGTAGGGGGTCGTGCAAAATTTCAAAAATTTTTAATTTTTTGACAAGGTAGGTGGTCGTGCAAAATTTCAAAAAAAATTTAATTTTTTGACAAGGTCGTGCAAAATTTCAAAATTTTTTAATTTTTTGACAAGGTAGGGGGTCGTGCAAAATTTCAAAAATTTTTAATTTTTTGACAAGGTAGGGGGTTGTGCAAAATTTTAAAAATTTTTAATTTTTTGACAAGGTAGGGGGTCGTGCAAAATTTTAAAAATTTTTTAATTTTTTGACAAGGTAGGGGGTCGTGCAAAATTTCAAAAATTTTTAATTTTTTGACAAGGTAGGGGGTCGTGCAAAATTTCAAAAATTTTTAATTTTTTGACAAGGTAGGGGGTTGTGCAAAATTTTAAAAATTTTTAATTTTTTGACAAGGTAGGGGGTCGTGCAAAATTTTAAAAATTTTTTAATTTTTTGACAAGGTAGGGGGTCGTGCAAAATTTTAAAAATTTTTAATTTTTTGACAAGGTAGGGGGTCGTGCAAAATTTTAAAAATTTTTTAATTTTTTGACAAGGTAGGGGGTCGTGCAAAATTTTAAAAATTTTTAATTTTTTGACAAGGTAGGGGGTCGTGCAAAATTTTAAAAATTTTTTAATTTTTTGACAAGGTAGGGGGTCGTGCAAAATTTCAAAAATTTTTAATTTTTTGACAAGGTAGGGGGTCGTGCAAAATTTCAAAAATTTTTAATTTTTTGACAAGGTAGGGGGTCGTGCAAAATTTTAAAAATTTTTTAATTTTTTGACAAGGTAGGGGGTCGTGCAAAATTTTAAAAATTTTTTAATTTTTTGACAAGGTAGGGGGTCGTGCAAAATTTCAAAAATTTTTAATTTTTTGACAAGGTAGGGGGTCGTGCGAAATTTCTAAAATTTTTTAATTTTTTGACAAGGTAGGGGGTCGTACAAAATTTCAAAAATTTTTAATTTTTTGACAAGGTAGCTTAAAAATTGTAGTAAAGCGATACTAACGCACTACTAGCTTTTTTTTAACCAAGAATTTTATGATTATAAGATTAGTTAATATTTTCATTTTTAAAATTTTTAGGGCTTTTGATGTTGAGTTACTATACATCGCACAATATTTAAAAATGCCAATAAAAGAAATTGCAGTTTGTTGGACAGAAATTGAAGGTTCGAAAATCGTTCCTTTTTGGTCATGGTTGCAAATGGGAATTGATCTCTTTTTAATATGGTTTCGTTATTTAATAGGAGCTTGGAAAATCAATGATATGTATTTATAAAGTAGATTTAAGAATAATATTATACATTCCTTAATAAATTTTTGGTAATACATGTATGTAATATGCTATCCCATTTTTTTTAAAACTACTTACATATATATTTATATAAGGAAAAGAAAAATTTTTGTTTTATTGAAACATGAAATTTGTTTAAAACATATGTTTTTTTGAGTCTTAAAAAAGCTAACTTTCGATTCACAGTTCTCCTCTATCTTTTAAGAGATAGTAATATATGTATGTTAAAAAAAATTAATTTATACAATAAATTTTGAAAAATAATTTTTATTAAACTTTAGAAAATTCCATTTTTATTTCCTTTATAAAAGAAATTTGTTGTAATTAATTATGAATTGAGAAAGAAAAATATGATTTTACACAAATGATTTTTCTTAAAAATAAAAATTTGAATTTAAAATCAATTTTCCTTTTATAATGACTGTTAGACTTGAATTACAATACTATGGAAGTTTATAATTACATAAATGTTTTACAATTTTCATAATTTGTCCCTACTTTCATAGTTTGCTAAAAAAAAAATTAATTTAAAAATAGTCGCTCAAAGATTTTGAATACATAAAAGCTATGCTGATTTTTATCATAACTTGAAAAATTTTATAGAAACAAACAATTGAAAATAACAAAAAAGTAAAATTTATATTATGCTTAGCAAAATAAAAAATTTAAATAATATATATTCATAATACATTAATTTTATTTTTAATACATACTATTAAAATTATTCAATTTACATGGTTCTAGATAAAAAAATTAAATTCCCATATACAACATACAAATTGAACATTTCTTTTCTTACATCGATTTAGACTGTTTGTTCTTTTTACTTGATTCTTTCTTCTCTTTTTCTGGTTTTTCCTCTGGATGATCTTCATATCTACAAAAAAAGAAAAGGTATCAATTTTATAGAAGAAATTTTATTCCTGTAATTAAAATTATACAATTCGTATAAGACATTGAACTTACGAAAAAAGTTGTTTTAAATCTCCTTTTAAAAACGCGATTAGAGTGGGTGTTACAATACAGGCTGGAACTAAATATAACAAAGCTGGTTGAGCGTGTTTAAACATGTGCATCACAAAAATTGTAAAAATTAAACCTAATAAGTAAGCAAATATTGTCGAATAGAAGTATACATTTTTTCGTCTCTTTAAGCTATGGTCAAATCTTAATAACAATGCAATAAAAATTCCAGGAATTACAATGTCTCCTAAACCAAGCATTGCAAAATTCGAAGCTGCTAAGCCATTTACAAGTAAATCTTGTGGGAATACTAGTTTTATAGGTGCTTCAAAACTTTTTGCAACAGTAACCATAACATTTGTTCCGAAAACCCAAAATATATCATAGATAAAAAGTCCACTCAAAAGAATACATCCAGTAACAACATTATTTAAATGTAATAATTCAACTCCATTGATTGCAAAAGCTAAACCAAATAAATTATTGGCAATCCAGTGTTTTTTTAATAAGTACCACACTCCAACGATTACAGATATAATGAGGCAACCAATATCATGCGATGAAAACTTATAATTTATAATGTCTTTTTTGTCTTTGTCTTCTCCTTCTGTAAATAAGATGTGGAATGGTACTTTTGGAATTGCTGCAGGTATTAATGAACCAACTATTGGACTTAATAAATTTGAGAGAGCCATTATTCCCAAAAAGAAGAAATATCCAGTAAGGAGTAAATTAATATAATCTTTTGAAAATATCTGGAAAAATATATATAATCCAAATAACGCACAAGAGGCTATTAATGGGAACATTATTGCATCTTTTGAGGACATTACATCTGCTTTTTCACCAGATGCCTGTAAAAAGAATGATTAATTAACATTGAATTGCAATTCTAATATTTATTGTTCTACCTTTTTGATTTTATGGTGCTTAACTGAACGAATTGAACCAAAAAATATAGGAAATATTGCCATAACTACTAAGCTTCCATAAGCCACGCAAATACCTTCTAATGATGTAGGCACTTTTAGTGCACTACCGTCTGTAATATTTTTTTCCGCATTTAGAATTTCAGTTTCAGTAATTGTATCCATTTAATTTTAGTTCAATTTTATGATTGTTTGTAATTTTTACTCCTTTTTCTTTTTTAATAAAAATCTATTTTCCTTCAATTTTTGACACGTTTACAAAGGTAAAAATTTTAGAAAACAGATTTGACTGTAGTGTCTACAGTCTAGCAATTCACAATCTAAAAATTTATTTAGCAGGTATTTTTTGATTCAGCAATAAGAATGACATTTAAAAATTGTTGATAAGAGCAATTGTCATAACAGCTCATTGAATACCTTTCATGATAATTGACTCTTATGTTTATGAAAAATTACGATTAAAAATTTAAATAATTGAGATTGAATAGTTTTTCTATAGGGTATACAATAATATAAACAATGTATATTTACAAAAATATACTCTATAAGACATGTCTACACTTTAAGAAAAACAAGTTCTTTATTAGTAAATTTAATAATGTTATAGTTTTTGTTTCAGAGAAATATTGAATTTACTGTTCACCGTATTCGTGTCGAAATTCAAATTTTAAATGAGGATATAAATTGTTTAAATTTGCCAACTTTTCATATCTAAATGGACATATAAAGAAATTGCCGCACGGACTATTATCAAATTCTTATAAATTTTTTTTTTAATAAGTTAGCAAATAAACCATTTGTAATTTATTATTTAGTTATTTTTACTCATTTTATATTTAATTTTTTCTAAAAACCGTGCAATTGAAGACATTCGTAAGAATTTGAAAATTATTATAGTAAAAATGCTATAAAAATACAATCCAAAACTATTCAACGTCGCTCTTCCAGCATTTTGAAAACATAATTAGCAAGTTTTAATACATTGAATTGTTAATAAACTAGTTGACCCGCTATTTGAAAATTGAAACTTGGTTGAAACTTAAAAAATTTTAATATACTACTTGTCTTTTTAAAAAAGTTTGAAAGAAAGTTTAAGTGTGAGGGACTATGATGATCAATATTTTTTCATGATTTATACTGCAATCAAAACAATTGAATATTTAAAACTAAGAAGAAATTTATATAATTAATATTTTTGTTATAATAATTTTCTTAGAATATTCTTAAATAATGTTACTTCGAAATAATTTTTTGCCCCTTTGTTGAAATACACATATTTTAAAAAAAAAGTAAATTAAGCTAGAAAATTTCAATTTATTTTTCTTCAAAATAATATATTGACTAGTTCAATATAGAAAAATTTTTGTATTTGTTAAATCAACTATATAACAGTTTCGTTTGAATTACAACATATTTTCCATTTTCAATTAAAAATTGCGATTTTGATATTGTTTTATTAAATTACATGTCATTATTATAATATAATTATGTATATATATATTTTTTTGAATTTTTAGTCTTAAAAACTTCTTAACAATTCGTAACAAAGAAATTTTAAAAAAATTTTATATTATTTTTTGTAATAAAATAGTACAAGCGTATTAAATAAAAATCGAATATGGGAGCGTTTTTAGTATTAAAAAACGAAGCCTTTTGCATTTTACGTGGCAACACGCCATATTTTTATCAAAATGACAAAAGCGACGTTCTGAGACTGAAACTTGAACCTCCAATATCCGTTCGCCATTGGTTAAGTTATCGTATGCCTTCATACATACGTTTTATTTTTAAGTTTAGTTGTTTAAGGAAAAAAATAAATTTTAAGTTTTTTCCTTTCCGGTATTAGATAATTATAAAGTAATTAGGTTTACCATAATAAGATAGACAATAAATTTTTAAGGTGAATATTAATTTTTTGGTCTCTTTTTTTCAATAATGTAAGTGTGATTCCTGGATGTGTCGATGTCGATGTCGATATTTAAATAGAAAACACGAGCTCTATAGAAATTTTTTATATAATTAAAAACTAAGTAGAAGTATTATAGTGTTAAAATTTATAATAAAATATTTAAATATTTTTGAAAATATTGATGAAATTTTCGTAGTAAATATGCATAGTTCAGTTAAATTTTTTGTACAAAATGTAAGCTAAATTTATGTAGGTATAAAAGTATATGTATATATGTGTGTATGTATGTACCTTCATATATGTATATACATATATATATAGTTACTATATGTACGTACGCACGTATATGAATGTGTAACATTTATGCTGCTTTTACATAGTACCTGTTTATTTATATAAAGTGCGGTATATGTACAATTTACACATACAATATATACATTTATACACATATATATGTGAAATTGCTGGGTAAAACAGGTTAAAAATCTTTATTTTGTTAATTTAGCCCAATTAAATAGAATGTAAAGTAAAAATTACTTGATATATTAATGTTAATTTCTAAAAATTAATTTAAAACAGTAACATTTTTAATGTTTTAAAATTATAGAATATAAAAATGAAAAAAAAATATATATATATAAGCATGTAATTAAATCCAGAAATCTCGATATTATTATATAGAAATCTTTTTATTATGTACATACATATTAAGTATATTTTTAATTATCTTTATAGTTACTACGTTAACTGTTAACTATAGAATTCTGCTGCAAACTATACTGTTGATATTAAGAAACTCGGCGAATTTAAAAGCAATTTATACACTGTTGAAAATAGAAAGTTTCTAAAATTCCGACTATCAAAGAGGAAAGTGAAAAAACAATGATGGAGGAAGATGAGAGGGGCAAATTGTTTGTTGGCGGCCTTTCATGGGAAACAACACAAGAAAACCTCTCTAGATATTTTTGCCGTTTTGGAGAGATAATAGATTGTGTTGTTATGAAAAACAATGAAACTGGCCGTTCTAGAGGATTTGGTTTTGTAACCTTTGCCGATCCTGCCAATGTTAATCATGTTTTGCAAAGTGGACCACACACTTTAGATGGTAGAACGATAGATCCAAAACCATGTAATCCAAGAACGTTGCAGAAGCCGAAAAAAGGTGGCGGTTATAAAGTTTTTCTTGGAGGTTTGCCTTCTAATGTAACTGAAACTGATTTAAGAACATTTTTTGGACGTTATGGCAAAGTAACTGAAGTCGTTATTATGTATGACCAAGAAAAGAAGAAATCTCGTGGATTTGGTTTCTTGTCATTCGAAGAAGAACAAGCTGTAGAGCATGTAACAAATGAGCGTTACATAAATTTACACGGCAAACAGGTAAACATTTTTTTGTTATCAATTGGATTCTAGTTTTAATTTAAAAAACATTAGAAAAAAACTATGTATGTATGTACGTTTGTATTGTTTAAAAAAGCAATGTTTTCCAAAATGTCAACAGTCATTGAACATACAAACAAAAATAAATTAAATTAAATACCTATCACAGAAAGTTCAGTGAATGTAATATCACTGAATTTTAAGAAATGTCTGTAGGAGGAAAACAAAAATCATTTTTAAATTCTATATAGTCCTATAAAATCACCATAAAAAAGTTTTTATAAATAGTTTAATTTAAATAGCTTTATTTTTTTATATAATTTTTCAATTTTTTTTTTGTGTCAAAAAGAGAAATTTTCAATAATTTTTGAGCATATTCGTTCTTTTTTTGATTTTTTATGTTCGTTTTATTTTTTTACATCGCAAATTAATTAAAATCAATTTTTGAAATAAGAGAGAAAAAAAGTAAAAGCCAATATTTATGTATAAAGAACGTCAATATAAATATATACAACTTCATAAGAATACAAGTTGTGTGCTAAGAGAATATTAGAAAAATTTTGAGGCGTAGTAGTAGTATTTCTTAATGTTAGTTAAAGCTCTCACATACTTTTCGCTCTATTGTCATATCCATAAATCAAATTTATTGATAACATTTTTATTGTTACAACAAAAATTTTATCTTAAATTTGCGCCAAATCATTTTCATCTTAAATCAGTATAGAAATTTATAATTTATTTTATATTTTTTACAGTACCAACAACTTAACCTCGTTTTTTTGACTAAGTAATTTTGTAATTTTTTTTTTTTTTTTTTTTTTGCTGAACAATCTTAAATTAGCTATAAGTAATATAGCGTAAATAAAAAGAAAAAACATAAAATTATTTATGGAACCTTTTTCAGGTTGAAATAAAAAAAGCTGAACCCCGAGATGGATCAAGTGGTGGTAACGCTAATAACAGTAGTATAGGTTGTGGGTATGGTAAAATGGGTAATGATGCACAATGGGGTGGACCGCATCATGGAGCACCAATGAATATGATGCAAGGTCCAAATGGACAAATGGGTGGACCGCCTTTAAATATGCCTATTGGTGCACCAAATATGATGCCAAGTTATCAAGGATGGGGAACATCTCCTCAACAACAAGGTTATGGATATGGAAATAGTGGACCTGGTTCTTATCAAGGTTGGGGAGCACCTCCTGGTCCACAAGGACCACCACATCATCAATGGGGTAATTATGGTGGGCCACAACAAACACAGGGCTACGGCGGCTATGATATGTATAATTCGGCATCAACAGGTGGACCTAATGGACCTTCAGCAGGTGCGACTTGGAATTGGCCTCCAACTTCTGCAGGTGGTCCTGCAGGAGCTGCTTCTGGAGCTGGTACTGGTGGCTCTGGAAGTGATATGTATTCAAGAGCACAAACTTGGGGAGCAACCGGTCCATCTGGACCAGGCCCAGTTGGTGTAGGAGGGCCAAGAACCGGACCAGGAAATTCAACATCAAAATCGGGTTCAGAATATGATTATGGCGGATATGGCTCAGGCTATGATTATGATTATGGTACTTATAGTAAGGATCCTGCAGCAACTGGTTATGGTGCTGGCCCAAGAGCGGGATACGGTAATGATAATTCATCTCAACCTCCTTATCCAGCTTCACAGGCAGTTTAAGAAACAACAAAAAAATTTAAAATACATCTTTAATTTTATTTTCCATTTAAAATGTACACTTAAATTTATATATAAAAATGAAAGTAGTTAAAAAAAAAACGTAAAAATATATAAAATAAAGAAACCTATTATAAGTACTACACAGAGAGATTTAAATAAATTGTAATCGAACATTTATATTATACATATAAAATTTTAAAAATCATGAATAAATTTAGATTTGACTAGCATGTTGTTTGTAATAAAAATAAATTTATGATTATTACTAAAATTAATATAAATTTATTAGAACTACAAAATTTTATCTTATTTACTAAGGGGTTCATGCATTTTAAAAAAAAAATAATTTTAATTTTAGTGTTAATGTTTCCGTATAATCAAGTATAATTTTAATCGCAAAACTACAAAAAAAAAAAAAACATTTTTTACTATATTATTTCTTGTTGAATATATCGCATTTTAAGTAATCATTTAACTGTCATTAGGTTTAATGCCACAGCGTAAATAAAGCTTAATTCTACATTTAACAAAAAAAAAAAAAAAAAAAACAAATCCTTAAAATAAAATTACATTGTATTTTTTGAAAAATTTTATCATAGTATAAAGAATTCTAGGTTTAACTGAAAAAAAAAGCAAAAATAAACAAATAATCGAATTCTGAATGAAATTTGAATTTAAATTACCATTATAATTAGTTCTAAGGGAAAATAAAAAGGGAAATGATCAGAAAAATGACTCGATTCTTTTCATAATACTTGGATCCTTAAATTTTATAAGAAAACAATGAAAAAAACAAAAAGTTAATTAAAAATATTTCCTAAGGATGGTTATTTTATGTTGATTTGTTCTGGTTTTTTATTAGATGGAGTTTAAATATTTGTTTAAATATTCTTATATTTGGCTTTCTTAGATATAAATATTGTTTATTTTTTCAAAGAATTCAGTTAAGTGTTTGATCTTGAAGTTTTTTTTTTTTTTAGTACATACTACATAACAATAATAAAGTTTCAATTTAACATTATCGAGTTCAACAAAAAAATGGGAGATGAATAAGGTAATAGATAATATTATTATAATATATCTTATATTTACGTTACTTTTATTACAATTAAGAATTATTTTTAAATATTAATAAGTAATAATAGTAAATAAATAATTATTAAAATCTTATACCTTGTCAATTGATTATAAGATAAATATTGGTTTATCCAAAAATTACTTCCATTTTAATAAGTTTTTTTGTATTAACTTAATTTAAATTAAAAAAAAAAAAAAAGTTATATTGATTTATTTTCACCTTACAAAGAAATGTAAAACAGCTTTTGCATGAATAAATTAATGTTATTAATTTGTATTTAAGCTGTTTGTTTTCATCAATATAAAAAAGATATTCTTATTTAAAAAAAAACAAAAATCCTATTATTCTTTTTATTTAACTATAAATTCAATAAACATAAACTTTGCATTTTTCAGTTTCAATCTGGTGGATTTTAAAACTAATATAATATTTATTTATTTTTTTTTTTTCATAATCTTTTCGAAATACCTTTTTTATATATTTTTATCATTAAATTAATTTGATTTTCATATTGAAAAAAATATTAATATTAAAATTAGCAATGTTTAGCATAAAAAATAAGAAATTTTTTTATGATTGCAGATTGACTTAAAAGCTTGATATTCACATTATTCATTGATGATGTGGCTTAGGAATTTATAAAATTCATTAATTAAGAAACATTTTATTAGAATTCATTGTAAAAGTATAACAAGTAAACAAACACGTTTTAAATTTTCCTAATACATAATTTTTTTTCCCTTTTATTTCATTTGGTTTTTGAAAAATTTGATTTTTTGCATCTATCATATCAAATATCATGAAAATTGAAGAATATTTGAATTTGGCTCCATATAAATTTTTATAATAGACAATGAATTCAAGTAGTTTATAATATTATAACAAAAAGCTATATTATATCTAGTGAGTAATTTTAACAAGGCCGTTTTACTTTAGTGCTGGTCTTTGATTTTATTAATTATTTATTGAATATGTAAGTAATTATATGAAAAAATTTCAGTTTAACATAATTAAAATTATACTATGTGATTGAATTTGAATGCAATGAATTTTCTAAGGAAATTAGCATTACGAATTTCATTGCTGAATGCGACTTTGAAATATGGGACGTACTTTCATTGTGTAAGATCACTAAACCATGACATGTTTATATTCATAAGTATTGCTTATAGAAGCTGGGATAAGGAGTTTGATAGAATAATTTGGTAGAATCTATAAAAATCTATAAGCAATGCTTAAGTGTAAATATGATTTTTTTGTGCTGCTTAAACCATATAGTTTACTTATAACCTTATACAAAGTTTACATAACAAACTTTTGCGAATCAAGAAATTTTAATAATTAAAAGGAAAAGATTAACTTAATACAAATGAAGATCTTTTGAAGTTTCTTTTTTGGATATATTAACATAAAAGTGTTTTATTTTTTATCACTTTTGTTATTAAAGGGTTATTATAGTTTTAAAAATTTCATAATCTTCTAAATATATTCGATAAGGTTTTTATTCAAAAAATTAAAATTTGAAGTTATCAACTTTTGTTAAAATTAAATTTAAAGGATAATAAAACCTTATCTTTTATAAACTAGATGTCTCTACCAAAAAATATTTTTTTTATGGATATTTACAAGCAACTATATTATTATATAAGCAGAATTGGTGTATTGCCGACTTTCAAAAAGAATCTAACAGGCACTGATATAGTAATAAATGTATAGTAGTTTAAATGGTTGTAGAAGTGGCGGAGAACATTTTGACGGATCTTCAATAAGAGTGATTGTTGGGGCAAGAAAAGTAAGTTTAAGAACAAGGATTGTACAACAGATTCAATTGAATCGTTTTCTCTGAATTTAAATCGATTTTGATCTAATGCATTAAGAAACGTGACATGCAAGAATAATGTGGTAGTTGTTTGATTTTAGCTTGAGAAATGTGTTTCAGAGGGTTGTTAATTTATATTTTATACTTTCTAATATGCAGACGTGCGAACAAACCAAAGACGAAAAATTTCATTACAAATTACGTATTTGTAATCAAATACGATTGTCTACCAAAATGCATTCAGATGTCTTGTTTGACAATATAATTTAATTCCTCACAATAGTTAGATCGATTGTATAACATCTAACCGATTTAAAAAAGCACCAGGCGTACAGGAAAAGGTATTTGACTATCTATGGTCAGGTGAATAATACAATAGTAAAACGTTGCCCTCCGACCCGAAACAGTTTGCCTTGTATGTTTCTTTATCATGTATGTAGTAAAATCGTCTAGGTCATACATGATTAAATCATAAAATCATCTAGCCCTAGTTAAGAAATTAATATTTAAATATATTAAGAATTTCAGTATAGAAATTTACTCAATTATGAAAATGAATTGGTTAATTTTAAAATTTTTTTTATGTAGTATGTAGTTAAAATTTGTTTAAGTAATCAAATTTTACATTATCCTTTATAAAATTGTGCATGTGTATGTAAAACAAATTTGCATATTATGTAAGTATACATATACATATAATCAAAGTAGAACATTTATAATTTTTTTGATGGAAACTTCAAAAGAAGGAGGCGTTTACAATGCACTTAAGCAATTATATAATAGATTTAGCTGAAAATTTTATGTTATTTCATACTAATTTTATAGATTTTTGTATCTAGATTGTGAATTATTACGATAAAATGTTACAAATTTAATTTTCATTTATTTTACATATATAGATTAAAGTATTAGAGTTGGCGTTAAAGTATTAGAGTTGGCTGAATGCCCATTAAAATTTATGTAAATCAATTAATTTTATAATAGTTTAATAGAAATTTTTGAGTTCCTTGTTAAATATACATATGTATGTTTATGTACGTATGTATGTAATTCGTTTTATTTATGTATAACTTAACGTAAGAACGATTTAAATTATTCCCTATTCTTATTTATTTTACGTTATCTGCCAGGGTCTACCAAATATTTTGCTATTGGTAAAATGAGCATTGAGCAGAAAACAAATTTCTAACATTTACTTAACTCAGTCAATACTACAAGTTCTTATTTGCCAAATACGGGAGATTACATACTATTATTGTTCTGTCTAGCTACTCAATAGTTGTTCTTAGTTTGGGTGATTATAGTTATTTCATTTGAAATTATTTAGATTCCTTGACATTGAAGTTACGGTAATACTAGACCATAACACAATTTAGCGGTTATTTTCTAAGCTGTAAATGTTGTGTATTTTACTTGAAAATTACGGTAATGCGATATTTATACATTAAATTCCGGTATTTTGGACATTTATATGCGTATGTGTAGACATATTACTTGGAATTATTTACGGTATGCAATTTAATATTGGAGTAATGAAATTTTATTTTATTTTTCAATAAATTAATCTACATAATATAATTATATATATATATATATATATATATATACGTTCTTTTATTTTGTATTTCATTTATTTATTGAAAGTACTTAAATTTTTATTATGTATATATGTATATATAGACAAAACAAGGTAAGTTTCCTTAATTGACAATAATATTTTAAAAACTATTGTATAATTTTATATAATATAATTTTAATGTACTCCATAATATATTATCAAATCTTAAGAAAACTTAAAACAAAAATAAAAAAAAAGAAATAAAATAAATTAAAATACAATTTTAATATTACTATTATTATTAAATATGCATATGTATATATGTATTTGTATTTGTATTAATTATAATATATTTATTTATTTTCAATTCTTTTTCCTTTACAAAGACGGACAATTTATATTAAAGAATTCTTCATTAATCCAGTAACTTGTGTGTATGTATTTAAAAACATAATAAATGAATTTACGATATATTTATGTATACGATATATACGATATCGTATATCGTAATTTTTATTTTTTTAATACTCTTTGCAGTCTCCAACAATATCAACATCACTTTCATCATCATCATCATCAAAATCATTTTCATCACTACTCAATGGTTCACAAGATGATAAATCTTTTCGGCGTGTATTAATTGCATGATGATGATAGCTATTTGATGTTATAAATTTTTGTAATGAGCTATCATTTTGTTTATTTAATTCAATTTTATCAATTCCACCATTTCCACCACCTCCTCTTCCATGTAATAATAAAGAATTGTCAGATGATTCATGTAATTGTTGAGATTCTGATGATTTTGGAAATTGTATAATTTTATGTTCATCATTTTTTGAAAAATCTACTGGTTCTATAAAATACAAAAATGAAATATAAAATTGCATGTAATATGTATAATAAATTTAAATAAATTTTTTTTTTTAAATTACTTAAAAATTTTTCTAAACCCTTTTAAATTGATTTAATGGTTCCTTTTTTATGATCCTGTATGAAAATTGGCACTCATAATTGATATAAGAATGAGAACATGATTGTGAATGTTATTATGCTCATAAGTACATACATATATACGTTACATACAACATGAATTTATGTTAAATAAATGTTCACAATGGATGCATTGGTTTATGATATGATTTTTATTTACCGTAATATTATCAAGATGTCTGAAGTGTTTGTCTTATAATGTAAATGATTACAACACTTAAAAATTTTTGTTTAGAAAATTTTCGTTAAAATTATATGCTAATTAAATACCTAAAATAATTAAAATTGGATGAGAAGCTGTGAAGTTCCCAAAAAAAAAAAAAATAATTAAATTTCAATAGTTGGGAACAAAAAGTTTTACCAAAAACTATAAATTTCTCATAATTATTTAATTTGTTGATGGAAGGATTTATTTAATTTGTCACCGAAATTTAGAAAAGGTGTACCTTTATGTGCAAATTGAGAAATATCCAAAAATTTTACAATAAGGTCAATATAACACTTTCTTTTTTTTAGGGTTCAATTTTTAAAGGCTCGAACAGTTAAAGGCAAAACTTTTTTTGTGCTTTCAATTTGGCTCGCAAAATTTTCGGATGCAATAATCCTATAGAACATGTTGGGAGTATAAAATCTATGTCCGAATGATATAGCAGCCACATCAAGCCGCGAGATCCTCCTGGGGGTTACAAAGCCCTACCTCCCCCCTAAGCATCCCAGTCACAGGCGAGCAACCGCCTTGCATTCATACAATAAGTGTTTCATACATGTATTTCTATGTTTTATATACTAACCATTTGTTGTATCCTTTCTTCTCAATTGTTTTTTATGCTTCATTCTTCTATTTTGAAACCATGTTTTTACTTGAGTTTCACTTAATCCTAATGCTGTAGCTAATTCGACTACAATAATTATTTTATTTTTTGTTTTTGAATCAAAAAAAGAAAATTACAACAAAAAAATATTACCTCTTTCAGGAGTTGATAAATATCTTTGAGCCTCAAATCTTTTTTCTAAACCTGTTAATTGTGGATCACTAAAAACAGTTCTTGCTTTTCGTCTTCTACAATGCTTTAAACTATTTGCATTCATACCAATACCTAAAGCAATATCTGGTATACATCCAGTTGAAAATAGACCTAAAATTTTAAAATTAATCTACTTATATAAATAAATAGCAGTGGTAAAATTCAAGTAAATAAAGAGCAATTGAGACAAAAAAATGCTTAGCTCAGTTAAATCAAATTTCTCTCATTAAATTATTATAATTTGTAACATGATAACGTAAGAGTTTGACAGTACAGTCATTATTATAGGCAATTAAATTTTCATAAACAAAGATATGTGGTGAATTTTTATATTTTTGTATTAAATAATGGATTGGGGAAGTTATGAAACCTACACACGTTCAATATATCCCATATAATATGTTATATTTATGATATAACATATGTATAACATACGTAAGTATATAATGCTTATATTATAACTTACCTACCTTGATGTAAAAAATATGGATCAATAGTTTTGAAAGCCCCTGATGAGGGGCCCAAATATCCTAATGTCATTTGTAGGAAACCTTGTTCGGCAAAATGTGAATTTGGATATAACATACATCCTGCCGGATGTGTATTTCTGTAACCATCTTCTTGATTTGCTGTAAGATTATTAGCGCTAACGTGCATGGGATTTGGTGATCTTAATCTGAAAAATATTAAAAATGTATAATTTTTTTGTAGTATAACTAAAAATGCATATGAGTTCGGTTAATTATTAATTATTTGAACTAAGATATTCCACATAATGTGAAATATATTTGACATTATTTACGATAGAAATAACGGGAACGTCCTATTTTTAGGTAATTTATTCAGAGGGCTGAATTTTGAGTTACATTTTCAGATATTTTAAAATAATATTACATGTCTAATTATTGTTCTCTACATCACCCGTGAATTATTATAATATAAAAAAAAAATTGAGTAGAATTGACGTCGGCTATACGGCGGCAAATTACTTGCGGAGTGTCAAAAATAGTATGTTAGTGAAGGTATATGGAAAACAAAGAAAAAATGAGAAAAACTACAGTTGTGTATTTTTATTAAATCTGTGATACCCGTACGAATTTGTTATCCTATGTACGAATAAATATGCCATAGCTGACTATGGGACAGACTATGACTTTAAGTTGCCATATAACAATATTAATTTATTCAAAATTTTAGTACTGCATTTTTGATATTTCCTAAGAAATGGTCAAACTACTACTGTAGTTGTATGGCAGCTACCAGAAAGAGCCAAGCAATTTTCACGAATTTTAACAAACACGTTGGATTTACTAATATATTCGCTTATGTGAAATTTCAATATCACAGCTTTCATAGTTTCTGAGATATAGTCAAAAAAATTTTGAAGTTGTATGGCACTTACCCGTACCGGTACGCTGATCATATACAATTTAAATAGCGCTCTGGCATTTATATAATAATAAATCATTTGTGAAAATTTAGTGAACTTAGCTCAATCAGTTTTTCAGTTATTGTTGGGACGGACGGACAAACAAAGCTAAATCGACTCAGAATTCGACGCTGATCAAAAACATACACTTGAGTCTATATCTCGGACTATTATTTCTTAGCGTTACAAACGGTAAGGCAAATTTAGTATACCTTCCGAACATACGTTCGTACGGGCATAAACACTACATTTCAGATGAAAGGCGATTAATTTGGAATATATGTTTGAAAAAGTTGCTATAGTGAGAGCCATATTTCGACCCCCTGGAAAGAAGATTTCGTTGTTTCGTACAAAACGCTATTCGCGATATGCTAAAAACAGAAACATTTTTCTGGAAAAATTAGAAAGCTTAAATCAAAAAAAATAAAAACAACGGTCAATGAAGATAGAGTCATAGTATGTTTAAGTAAAAAAGATCCTATTCTTACTTCTACCAAGATTCAGCAGCAAATGAAAGAAGATTTCAATTTCGAAGTGTTAGAAGATACTCTGAGAACTGTTAGAAGATATTTATTGCACGCCGAACTCAGAGAACATATTACCAAGAAGAAACCTCTTGTTTCTTTAAAAAATAGAAAACGTCGCTTAGAATTTACAAAAATGCATAAAGAACAACCTTTATACTTTCCAAAAGTATAAGTTTAATAGAGTCTGTAGCAACGGTAAATGCTATGTCTATTATCGAAAAAATGCGTTTCGTAACCCACACTATACACTCTAAAGACTATTGATGTGATTTAAATTCTAAGCACGGTGATGAGATTTAAATTTTATTGTTTTAATTTTTAAAAATTTCGGTGTCTTATTTAGCTGGCCACTATATAGTGTAATCAACCAATTACATAGTTGTAGTGATTAGTGAATGATAATTTGTTGCAAAATTTCAGGTCTTTAAGGAATTCTAATTCAAATTTAAAAATTTAAAATTGTAACTAATTCTAATTTTCTTTTATTTCTCTCAAGTCTCGATTTTCTCAAATTAAAAATTATTTCAATAAATTAATTTTGTTAAAAAGAAATTCTTCTAATTAAAAACTTTCACAATTTTTATTCTTTTATCGTATTTTATGTTGTATTAACTCAATTTCGGCAGAGTATATATAAAATAGACGTAGGTTTTTGGGGGACTTCAATTTATTTCATATATAAAATTAATAACTATATACTCGTAATATCACAATAAGATTTAAATATGCTGTTCTGTTATACTATCAATTAATTTTAATTTATTTTTCAAAAATTATTTTATAATTTAAAATTTCAAAATATTTTTTTTAATAATATTTTAATACAATGTTACTTTAGAAATAATTTCATCCATCATATACTCATAGTTCATACATAAAATTTGAATTTTATTATTATTAAGGTTAACTATACGGACGATTTCCGTCGCATTTTCATAAAATAAACTTGTACACTATTTTCGGTAATTAAAAAAAATTTCACAATTTTTCAAATTTTTAATATATTTTTAATATTATAGGTAAATAAATTTAAAGAAAATTTATTTTTCTCAATTATAAACACAATATTTTTTTTATCTAATATAAAGTTTCAATTCCACTATACATTTATATCGTTTTTTTTCTTCCTTTTTCACTTCTAGTGAGGAGAATAGGGCTAGTGCATGATATTGTACCCTAGTTTCATTGCGTCATAGAGTTTTAACTAAGTATAGGTGACTACCTTGCCGTAGCTTTTTTTCTTTTCGTATTAAATATTTAAGTTTACTAATATTTACTTTTTATATTTTTTTAGTTTTTAATATCGTATTTTATGAGTATATGAAAATTACTTACGTATAATATTTATAAAAGTATTGTATATTAAGTTATAATATTAAACATAATTTTTATAATGACCTGACCGGGGATTTTGAACCCGAAATATTTTATATCGTAATTGAGAAAATTTGAATTCCGTATATATTATGTGACCCTCTATTTTTATATAATATATATTAATATTATAATATGTAATAATTATTATTATATTAATAATTATAATAATTAATTATATATTATATATATATACCTATTATCAATTGCTATCCTCTGTATAATATCATCACTTTTTGAACATATTCCTTTTTTATCGTTATTACTCGTAATATATGAATTTTGTGATGATGTATTTGATCCTTTTTTAAGTAAAATAGGATCATCAAATTTTTCATTTATTTCTTGATTATTATTATTATTATTTATATTAAATAAATTAATATCATCTAAATTATTATTATTGTTATTATTATTATTTTTATTATCATTATTTTTTTTACGACATAAAATATCTTCAATTGAAAATGGGGTCTTATTTATATTTGTATCCCGATGATTATTTTTAAGATTTTGTTTAATTTGAACCGACATCAATAAAATATAAAAATAAATATTAATTTTTTCCCGTTTTAAATAAATAAAAATTTCAATTTTTTTTTTTTATATTTATATTTTATATGCAAATATATTTTATTAATAAATTTTTTTTTTTTTATAATAATGAACGAGTCACGTTAAAACTTTATATTCATCTATTTTCATATTAAATTTTAATGATTTAATGTTACTAGATAATAACAGATTGATGATGTGGTCCTTAAGTCTATATTTTGTATATATATATATATGTATATATGTATATGTATATGAATTTAAACAATCCAATGAGTAACGAGCAATTGATATTGGTTACCGCCCAAAATTATGTATAAAATTTTGATATTTTTTTATTTTATAAATGTATCTATATATATATATATATATATATATGTATATTGTATGTATATATCATTGTCATAGATATAATATTATGCTTGAATATCCTTTATATTTCAGGTGTTATTATGTATGTATTCAGAATCATGTATCTATTTACAATAATAAAAAGAACCAAAAAAAAAAAATTCTGCTCATGTCATTTAAAAATTATTTTATTGCATAGTTACAAAAAAAAAATTTATGTGTTTGTATGTATGAGTTCATATATACATTTTTGATTATAAATGCTGAAAAAGAAAAAAAAAGAGCGAAAATATGTTAAAAGTTAAAAATGAAGTGCAATTATTTTAAAAAGGATATTTGGTATAATATGAAAAATATCTATATGTTAATATATATAACATACATACATGATACGCAAAAAAAAAAAAAGCAAAAAAACAAAAAAAGAAAAAGTGATTTTTTATTTTCTAATTGCATGTACACGGTAGCATTTTTTTCATTCAAGGTTTGTAATGTTATTCAGTATGAAATATGAAATTTTTTTTAATAAATTCAAATCTTAATGTTATACGATTAAATGAGGAACTCAGAAGCCAAATGGTATAACCGTCACTCCTAAAATTTTTGTCACAATATATGGATTGGGCCATTTTGGCTCCTTAAATAGGGTATGTGGCACAGATCTTATATACTAAATTAAATATTGGTAAACTATGTTTTCATTATGGTGCTATATAGAAAACACAGTCATTAAAAGTTGAGTGACGTGAAGATTGAACTGGAAGTCAAATTTGTAAAAATTTAAAGCACGATTATTCAAGTGTTCGATTTCATATGTGTCAAACAGAGTTTTTTTTAATGACAGCTCATTTAACAGTGTTTTTTGCGTATCGTAATCAATTTCGTATTTTTTATATAGGTAGGAGAGCGCTCTTCATATGACAAACATGCAACATAGATGCCGTAAGTACATGACATAAGAGCAGAATGTAGACCAACAAAAAAAAATGCTTTAATTCTTGAAAAAAAAAAAAACAAAACTAATGGGGTAGTTTATATTTAAATTGTCTTTTAGTATACACTTCATTGTCTTTAAACATTTAGATATTACGTTTAATTCACGTTTGCAGTTCTAACAGCGAAAGATCTTATTTGTTAAAACTAAACTGCAATAGTAGAAATACCAAAGTAGTGCTGTAAACAAAAACTCTGATGTCAACAAGTTTGATTTATATTCTCTACTAATTGAAGTTAATGAATATTAAAGGCAGAATAAAAATTTTTGCGCGGTCGATTTAAAAGAAGATTTTTTGCGAACTACCATTGTAGATTTTTCTTAGAACTGCAAACACGAATTCAACATATTAACTCAGCAGAAATTTCTTGTATTCAAAGGAACGAGAATATTATTAGTGTAATATGCACAATATCTATTTATATATATATGTTCTTGTGATTGTGTATTTCAAATAGAAGATTGCGCGTAGCATCTCAATGTAAACAATACTTAGTAATCATGTAGATTACAGTATATAAAGCAATATAAAAAGCAATTCATCGGCAATTTTTTCATACCTCTATACCTCAGTTGGTAGAGCGTCCGCCTAGAAAGCCGTAGCCCACTGGTTCGAGTCCACTTCGAGGAGATAACAATTTTTTTTAATTTTTCTGTCTTTAATTTGTTCCTTTCATTACGTCATCCATCTGTTCTGCAGTCATAATATTATTAGTGTAATAGGCACAATACATATTAATTAAACAACTGCACGTTGTCATGGTAATTCACCAAATTCAACCTTTGATCAATATTTAATTCTTTAGTCATTTCTTTCCAATAAATTTCTCCAAATTGTTTCCTATAGTTTATTGAAAAGTTATTCAACATTTTATTTTTCGTTTTGCATTATTATGCTTTTTATTTTTTGCAGTATATATATTTTTTTTTTACATTATGCTATAAAAATATGTGGGGAAAATTATAATGTTAACATAATAATTATTATAAGGAACATAAATTTGTGTTGTGTATATGAGAATTTTTTTTATATAGTTATGTATAGAATAATTTGTAATAAATTGTGATTGGTGGTTTACTAAAGTGAAGAATGAAACCATATAATTTTATAAATCAATTGTTTCCACATAATAAATTTTTAATGAATAAACAAAAAATTCTAAATTTTTACTTTGCTTTCTCCTACAATAATAATTAAGACCAATAACAAAATTAAGTTGTTTTAAACAAGAAAACCGAAACTTTTTCATATAAAATGATATATATATATATATACATACATATACATACATATATGCTTTTAATTTAATGAGAATGTGCAGTAATTTTTAATTAGACTGTGATTTGAAAATATTTTTATGTATTAGGTTAGGTACTTATACGCTTAATTAAAATATTACAATTTATTATAGTTTATGAGAAGATTATTGAAATTTTCAAGAATTTTATAAGTGATTCTAATGTTATATATTGAAATATTTTTCAAAAATTAATGATTAATTTCCGAATTTTCTATATAAATATTAAACTCTACATATTAAAGTTAAAATTTTAGTTATCCAAAAAATTTTTCAGTAATGAATGAATTAAAAAATAATACAACCATAATTTGAATAAATTAGGAAGAAAAATTAAAATGACGAATTTGAAAGCAGAATTGGAAAATATTCAGTTCTGTTTTTTAAGAAAAAAAATATACTAAAATACGAAAAATAGTATTTCTAGTAAATAAAGTATAACAAAATTTGAAATAACAGCAAGTACTACAATATTACAAGAATTAATGCCCAATCACGGAAAGGTGTCGACATATGTATGTTACATTGTTTCTACTTTGTACTCAAGTTCGTTAAATAGCGGGATTTCAAATGATCAGCATGGTGAAATGATCAACATTGGAAATCATCTTTACAACATGAAAAAACCACACACAACGTTGTGTAAATTTTGCTGTAGGGAGAATAAGACATCGCTTAAAACTTCATTCAACTGTGACCTGTTGGCTAACAAAAAGCTTTCATTCCTTCCTGGCTATTTAATCTGGCTAGATCAGCTAAATGTTGCATTCATCTCATTTTGTAATATCTCAAGTTTCCTGACCATGATGATATTTGGACTTAGGGATCAGTCTACAACAAACAATCTACAATCTATACAATTTGTAAGAGGTTTTGAATTATTTTTTTATACTTACGTTGTAACAAATGTAAATTTGCAACAAATTATAAAAATAATTAGTCATTTTTCGATGTTAAAAGAAGAAAAATAACAACTTCGATGTCCTTTGGGTCTTTTGCACTGCCAAATATTAAAGAGATTTCTTTATATTTCCTTTTTATTTACATAGTATATGTATATGTACATTTAGACAAATATCATTTCATGTCTAATTCTGACTCTTAAAATAATTCAAAAAATTTAGCTAAAATCAAATTTTTCTTCATTAATTAATTTTATTATTTACCATTAGAGAAGTTTCATTTCCAAAAATTTCCGGAATTCCAGTATTTTAAGTAAAATATACTCAATATAATAAATTGATTGATGTATTTTGTAAAGAACTTTAAAAATTGAATCCAAGATCCGAAATATGAATTGAAGTAAAATTAATTTCAATGCGATATAGCACATAGCGGCTTAGTATATTCTTTATGGCAAAAAAACCTTAGTCCTGGTGCAAAATGACTTGCATTGTGAAGATTCGGAATATTTGAATTTCTTTCTATTTATCATATTTTACTGAAATTTATCAAAATTGCTTTGCCTGCTTTTATACAATTAAAAAAATTTTGTAAACATTTAAGTAGAGTAATGATTTTATTTACAAATTTATTTGACAGTGTTTTGACAAATTGTAAATAACAAAGTAATGACAAATAATTTATAGTACCTAATTTTCAATATAGTCTTCTTAAATAATTGTCAAAAATTTTAACATAAATAGTACGTAGGACGAAATTTATATATTACGATATACGATATAACTTATTCAATTATATTGCTAATTGTATATAATAATAATTTATACAAATTTAATTATTATAATAAATATTGTGAGGTAATTATATAACAATGAAGGACAATTATATTATTTATTATATTAATAAAATTTTTGAAATAATTATTACGTGATATTTTTATCTTAAATTTTGCAACTCTAAGGGTTTTATTTTTTATAAAAACTTTTTCCTTACGTTATAAGAAAACTATTATACAATATATTTTATTGTATGCAAATGAACATCCACCTACACAATATTAATAATATACACATAGGCATATATATGTTCTTGTAATAAAGAACATATTTGAATACAAAAATTATGATTTTATTATTTTAATAATAAAAAAGGAAAATATTCTTAATTAACCTTTAACTAACCTTAACTACTTTTTGAATTCTATGAAAAAAAAATTATTAGAATTTTATAAGTATAAAAACTTTTTTATTAAATCTTATTTTTGTTTTTTTATCTTGTATACAAAAATATATGCATGTATATATCAAAATTTTAGTATAGATTTATGTATATATAAGAGCCATAAATTGGGTAGAAAGAAGAGGTCTTTAAAAAGGAAAAAGAGTACAA